TCTGGTCATAATCCATAATTTCCCCATTGTGGGAAAATAAAGGGATTTTTTTTATTCTAATAATCTACCTAGATAAAGGTGGGAATTATTCCTTTAAAGATAATTTAGGATTTGTCAGGTCAGGCAGCAGAAACTGATCTCCCTTTGTCACTAACATTTTGCTTTTTCTATCATAATTCAGAACAGTAGATACTAAACCGGGTTCTTTGGAAACAAAGCTTTACCAGTGATCCCTGATGTAATGTAAGGAGCAAAACTTAGACTTCTGTCTGCTGCAAAATATCAGGTCACAGATCTAAATGAGTGTAAACAAACCAGTTTTAACATCACAGAAACTGAAAAGCACGTTTTTTTTTTCGTCACTGAAAGTATTTTTTTTTTTTGTCTCTGTAGCTGAAACCCAAAATGTTTAGAAAAATCTGAGGTGATTTTTACGCAGACCTAATTTAGGGTTAGACAGAAACTGAGGAGTGGATGGTGACCGTAGGCGGCTCATAGAGTGAATATAGACCGTACACAATTCTGCACAACCACCTGACTTACTGCCCTCATTTTCCCTTGATGACTAAAAACTCTAACTTGGTTTCCTTTAGGCTTCCATTGACATTTAATATCGAAAGAATGACTGGCTGCCTGGAGAAAATAGGGGGTGGGGGGGGCAAAATATTTTAGTTCTTAGAACCGACTGTTTTGATTTGTCCGTCAATCGCTGCTCATCACCACTGTTCTAGTGTAGCAGAAAGAAAACAACCTAAAACGACGGGGTTTACCCTGTCATGATACACAACCCTGTCATGAACACAAAATTCCCTTATAGAAAAAAAAAAACGATAACGGTAAAACATTGATTTAATATAAATGTAGCTGTTTGTTTATTTGTTTCTTTAAGCGCCTGGTTAAGTTTCCCTGCTGTCCAAAAACATTTCTGCTAAATCAATTGCTTTTGTGAAATCCCAAATATTGATAGCAGTCAATTAGAGGCTGCAAGGGGGAAATATCCCACAGAAACATATTCTTAGGCATCGCCAGCTTGTAGAAGGGTTGAAAATGTATATATTTGTGTTAAGAAAAAGTTTTATTTCTTAGAAAAATAAAAGTAATTAGCTAAAAGTATTGAGCGAACATGGCTGCTAGTTTCTGTTCTTTACACCGACAACTTTTTCAGGGTTAATACTAGAATGAGTAACTCTAATTTAATGCTTTTTATTGCTCTAAGAAATAATTTTAATGCCATCAACCATGGTTGCCATATATATGGTTACTAAATCGTATATGTATATATGTATACATATATATATATATACATATACACACATAAA